ATGACTTGGAATGGGGGAGGGGTGTTCTGTCTGGAGGGGTTGCCCTCCCACAGCAGGCGTGATAATACATGAGCCCCAGCGTGGAGTGATCAGGCTTCGCGTCGAATAACACAGGTCGATCGAAAGATGTTACGACCAGACATGTGCATGGATCCTAGTGATTGATCTATGATCTGAGTGGATCCCATCATAAAACCATTGAAAACCTTGTTCCCGAAGGTTTTAATGACAATAAGTGCCATCAAATTATGAATTATGACGGACAATCACATAAAATCCTTGAAAGTACATAGTTGCCGTTTTCACGACGGGCTATCCGGCGAACACGTGACATTTAGCTTAAGACAGCTGGCACGCGAAATCACGTATTGATTGTTTTAAGTCGATTGTCACGTGTTTTAAAGGGACCCTCCCACCTTCAAAAAAGTTGATGAAATGGCATGAAAGTGATGTCGTTCGATTCAGAAAGGGTAAAATCAAAACAAAATCGTACAAAAATTACCGCATGTAAATCGGTCAAGTGGTTGCTGAGATATAATCCTCGCAAAAGCGTCCGCACGGCCGGCCGGCCGCTCATACTCAGAAATTTCCGTTTATCTAAGGAAAGACTACGCTCGCTTCGCTCGCTCCGTAATAAGCATGCGATAATCCAGAGAAATTCTGGAAAATCGCAGAAACCGGTATCAAGGACAGCACGTAAGCAACGAAACGCAGGAGGAAACGCAGGAGGACCGGCTAGGTACTTTTCAATTTCCTGGACGGTCACGCATTATGTAACTCGACCTTTAAAGGTCGTCACAAAAGCACCAGACACTAGGCATTGAGTTATACCACCAGCAGTCAGGTACCGATCTCCAGCCTCCAGCGGTCAGCGGACACCGAGCTCCTATCGCTGCCCGCGTGGCCTGTTGACAGACGTCTTCAGCCACCAGGGAACTGAAGCTGCGATTTTTCAGCACAGGCTACAAGACTGTGCATTGTGTAAAACCTTTAGGAACTTCAGGTATTTACAATGGAATTGTATTGGAAGGGGCGGGGGAATATCGCTCCCCTGCTATTCGTGAATAGCGTGAGTCACGCCAGATAGGCAGTAGCGGCAGTAGCGGCGGAACACCTTCAATTAAGAGGGGGGGGGGGGGTGGGCACTGTCAACTTCTGGTCCCATTCTCTCCATGCAACGGTCATGCATATGCATAGGGCTAATGTTAAAATGCCAAAATCAAACGCAGCACGGTGCCCACTGCCCCGGTGCCCTCCCCGTTGCGCCGCCTCTGGTCAGAGGAACGACCAATTTACAGTGCCTGCTTTGAAATGGATTGCACCTCTGGCAAATCGTGGCAGTGCCTGCTCACGATTTTGCGGATGACACGCAAAATCGTGAAGCGTTCCACCTTTTCAAAAAAAAAATATCAAAAAAATTAAAATGATAAAGAAAATAATCTAATAAAAATTTATTTCATAAAAATTTTCAGTGTTTGCCAGGAAAGATAAGGTTGTAGTGTATGGTAGGGTAGGGTAGGGTAGGGTAGGGTAGGGTAGGGTAGGGTAGGGTAGGGTAGGGTAGGTGGGGTCGGGTAGGGTTGAGTGGGCTTAGGTAGGGTTGAGTTGATTAAGTTAAGTTGGGCACAGGTATGCTCGGGTAGGCGCTTGGCTAGGTAGGGTAGGCTTGACTGGGTAGGGTAGGCTTGGATAGGGTTGGGTGGGCTTAGGTAGGGTTGGGTGGGCTTAAGTAGGGTTGGGTAGATAAAGTTAAGTTGGTTACAGGTAGGCTTGGGTAGGCTTGGATGGGCTTAGGTAGGGTTGGGTAGGCTAAGGTAGGATTGGGTAGATAAAGTAAAGTTGGGTACAGGTAAGCTTGGGTAGGTAGGGTGGCTTCGGTGGTAGGGTGGGGTTGGGTAGGATTGGATAGGGTTGGGTGGGCTTAGGTAGGGTTAGGTAGGTAAGGCATAATTGGGTACATAAGGTGTGGTTGGGTACAGGTGGGTAGGTAGGGTAGGCTCGGGTAGGTAGGGTAGGCTTGGGTAGGGTTAGGTAGGGTTGGGTGGGCTTAGGTAAGGTTGGGTAGATAAGGTAGGGTTGAATAGGGTAGGCTCGGGTAGGCAGGAAGGGTTGGGACGGGTAGGGTAGGCTTGGCTAGGTAGGGTAGGCTTGGGTAGGCTTAGGTAGGGTAGGCTTGAGTAGGGAAGGTAGGCTTGGGTTGGGTAGGCTTAGGTAGGGTGGGGATGGGTAGGCTTGGATAGGGTTGGGTAGGCTTAGGTAGAGTTAGATAAGATATAATTTGGCAGATAAGGTGTGGTTGAGTACAGGTAGGGTTGGAAAGGGTAGGGAAGGCTCGGGTTGGTAGGGTAGGGTTGGGTGAGCTTAGGTATGGCTAAGTAGGGTATGGTAGGCTCGGGTAGGTAGGGTAGGCTCGGGTAGGTAGGGTAGGCTCGGGTAGGTAGGATTGGGTAGATTAAGTTTAGTTGGGTACAGGTAGGCTCGGGTAGGTAGGGTAGGCTTGGGTAGGTAGGGGTAGGGTAGGGTAGGCTTGGGTTAGTAGGGTGGGGTTGGGTAGGATTGGATACGGTTAGGTATGTAAGGTATAATTGGGTAGATAAGGTGTGGTTGGGTACAGGTAGGGTTGGCTAGGGTAGGGAAGGCTCGGGTAGGTAGGGTAGGGTTGGGTAGGCTTGGGTATGGTTGAGAAGGGTATGGTAGGGTAGGCTCGGGTAGGTAGGGTAGGCTTGAATAGGGTAAGGTAGGGTTGGGTAGATAAGCTAGGGTTGAATACTGAATAGGGTAGGCTCGGGTAGGCAGGTAGGGTTGGGAAGGGTAGCTTGGCTAGGTAGGGTAGGCTTAGGTTGGGTAGGCTAGGGTAGGGTAGGCTCGGGTAGGGAAGGTAGGCTTGGGTTGGGTTGGGTAGGCTTAGGTAGGGTTGAGTAGGGTAGGCTTAGGTAGGGTTGGGTAGGGTAGGTTTGGGAAGGCTTAGGTAGGGCTGGGTTGGCTTAGGTAGGGTTGGTGGGTAGGTAGGGTAGCCTTCGGTGGTAGGGTGGGGTTGGGTAGGCTTCGATAGGGTTGGATGGGCTTAGGTAGGGTTAGAAAGGTAAGGTATAATTGGGTAGTTCAGGTGTGGTTGGGTACAGGTAGGGTTGTTAAGGGTAGGGAAGGCTCGGGTTGGGTAGGGTTGGATAGGCTTGGGTGAGCTTAGGCATGGTTGAGTAAGGTATGGTAGGGTAGGCTCGGGTAGGTAGGGTAGGCTTGGATAGGGTTAGGTGGGCTTAGGTAGGGTTGGGTGGGCTTAGGTAAGGTTGGGTAGATAAGGTAGGGTTGAGTAGGGTAGGCTCGGGTAGGCAGGTAGGGTTGGGAAGGGGGTAGGCTCGGGTAGGTAGGTTAGGCTTGGCTAGGTAGGGTAGGCTTGGGTAGGGTTGCTTAGGTGGGGTAGGCTAGGGTAGGGTAGGCTCGGGTAGGGAAGGTAGGCTTGGGTTGGGTTGGGTAGGCTTAGGTAGGGTAGGCTTGGAAGGCTTAGGTAGGACTGGGTGGGCTTAGGTAGAGTTGGGTACATGTAGGCTCGGGTAGGTAGGGTAAGCTTGGGTAGGTACAGGTAGGGTTGGGTAGGGTAGGTAGGGTAGGCTTGGGTAAGGTTAGGAAGGGTTGGGTAAGCTTAGGTAGGATAGGCTTGGGAAGGCTTAGGTAGGGTTGGGTAAGTAGGGTGGGGTTGGGTGGGCTCAGGTAGGGTTGAGTAGATTAAGTATAGTTGGGTACAGGTAGGCTCGGGTAGGTAGGGTAGGCTTGGGTAGGCACAGGTAGGGTTAGGCTTAGGAAGGTAGGCTTGGGAAGGCTAAGAAGGGTTGGGTACGGGCAGGTAAGGTAGGGTAGGGTAGGCTTCGTAAGGTATGGTGGACGGTGGTGTTGGGTAGGCTTGGGTGAACTAAGGTAGAGTTGGGTGGATAAGGTATGGTTAGGTAGATAAGGTATGGTTGGGTACTGGTAGGGTTGGGTAGGGTAGGGAATGCTCGGGTCGGTAGGGTAGGGCTGGGTAGGCTTGGGTAAGATAGACTTGGGTAGGTAGCAGGGATGCGGAGCCGGAGCCGGAGCCGGAGCCGGAGCCGCCGGAGCCGGCATATTTTGCCCGGAGCCGGAGCCGGAGCCGGAGCCGTGAAACAATATAGCCCGGAGCCGGAGCCGGAGCCGGAGCCGTCAAAAAAGGGGGCGACTCCGGCTCCTTTTCTCAAGAGGAAACAATTATTTACCTAGTTCGGTTTGACAGTACAAGGCGTAAAACAATGTGGTATTCAAAATAGCCTTGTTATACAAATACAGAAGCAACGTGTACCAATCCCATCGCCTTTTTTTCACCCGTATTTAATTGATCGCATAGGGGATGTACTGAGTAGAAGCCGGAGCCGGAGCCGCCGGAGCCGGAGCCGCCGGAGCCGGATCATTTTACTCGGAGCCGGAGCCGGAGCCGGAGCCGCCATGACATTTCACCCGGAGCCGGAGCCGGAGCCGGAGCCGATTTTTTTCTCCGGAGCCGGAGCCGGAGCCGGAGCCGTCTGAAATTTCCACGGCTCCGCATCCCTGGTAGGTAGGGTAGAATTGGGTAGGGTTGGATAAGTTGGGTAGGGTAGGTAGGGTGGGGTAAGGTTAGGTAGGGTGGGATAAGATAAGGTGGGGTGGGGTAGGGTTAGGTAGGGTGGGGTAGTGTTGGGTAGGTAGGGTGGGTTGGGTAGACAGGGTATGTTGGTGAAGTGTGGGTAGGTAAGGTAGGTAGGAGGGTCGGGTGTTGTGGGTAAGGTGGTGCTGTGTGGGGAAGGTAGGGTAGATGGGGTAGGTTAGGATAGGGATGGGTAGGTAGGGTAGGGTGGTTAAGTTAGGTGGGTTAGGGCAAGTAGGGTAGGTGGGGTAAGGTAAGTAGGGTAGGTGGGGTAGGGTAAGTAGGGTTGTTGCCTCTCGTTGCGTTTTGACGCTGCTTGATGAACTCGGGAATCCTGCTGGAATCCCGCCTAGCAGGATTCCCGCCTCCTTTTGTGGGTCTTTTCTCTTTTATGTTTAACAGAAGCTGTATTGTTCTCGGCCACTCGTCAATCTCACAGCAAGCTCCTTATTCCGATAGCACAGGCTCCCAGGCAGCTTGTTGAACATAACTCTGCTACTTCGCCAGCGGTCCTTCCGGCGTGGAGCCCAACAACACCGGCGGGCCTTCTATCTTCCTCCGTGCTTCAAATCGCAGCAATCAACATCAAATTAGATCTGAAAGCCAGAAAACAACAATTAATGATGCGTGCACAAAAATCCTGACGGATGATAGTATAGTAGATGATAGTATATAGGGTATCATAGGCGTCATATAGCCTCGTTGCTGGTGCGCCCTAAAACACTAACTCATCATCAGGGATAGGGTATCGATTGTGGCCAAGGTGATGCCACATTTTCTACAGAACCTACAAGACCAGTACAACGCCTTTGGGGGCGGCGACTAACGGGGCGCCGCCCCCAAAGACTCCCGGCCCCTGGAGACTCCCGCCGTCCAGTGGTGGGGGGCGTTGGCCTTCGGGCCTGCCCGCGGCCGGCCGACTCCGGCTGCGGGTCGCCAAACGGGAGTCATCGTGCCCTCTCCGGGGGGTGGCGGGGGCGGCCTCCCGCCGTCACCGCTGCTCTCCCGGACCTCCTCCAAGACTTCTCGACTCTTCACTTCACGACATCCGTCCGGGCCGGGAAGCCGCAGCGCGCAGAGCGCCGCGGCCACCGGCCCAATAAGTAATTAACCACCGGGCCACGCCCCCTCCCGATAGCGCCGGCGGGAGGGGAGGCGGCGGCCCCGACGGGGACCCCCCCCCCCCCCGAGAGAAGAACCCGACAACGTCGCCGACTACGAAACCGAAGATACCGCCGGATCAGGTGCCGGAGAAGCCACTTGGACAAGACCTCAGATCATTCCATCAAGATCGAGGCTAGACGAGCCACGAGCCAGACGTGCTGCAACGGCAGTCGCGACGCCTTCTGCTCGCCCTTCTCCCGCAGAGAGCTCCTGCTCGGCATCAGGAAACTGCGGAAGGGACGCAGCACCGGGGTCGATCAAGTGACCAACGACATGCTCCACCAACTCAGCCCTTCAGCGGAACGCCATCTGCTGGAGGTGCTGAACTGGAGCTGGCGCACCGGGGAGGTTCCCGCGTCATGGAGGGCGGCGGAAATAGTCGCTATTCCCAAGAAAGGGAAACCGCCTAACGAGACCGGCAGCTACAGACCGATCAGCTTGCTAAGCTGTATCGGAAAGCTCGCTGAACGACTCGTGCAGCATCGCCTCCACCACTGGCTCGAAAGCGCCGGAAAGCTGAACCGAAACCAGGCCGGTTTTCGGAGGGGCCACTCTACACTGGACCAGCTAGCCCGAGTCACCCAGACCATCTTTGACGGTTTCGAGTCCAAGAAACCGCTGCGAGCCATCCTCGTCCTCCTGGACTACGCGCGAGCGTACGACCGGGTGTGGCGGGATGCGCTGTACGCTAAGATGCGGCGACTGGGTGTGCCGGGTTGCGCCACACGCTGGATCAGGGCCCTACTCAGCGACCGGCGCGCTAGAGTGAGATGGGGTACGTCAGCCTCCCGGTGGCGAATCTTCCAGGAGGGCCTGCCGCAGGGCAGCGTGCTCGCCCCTCTCCTCTGGCTCATCTACTGCAACGACATCGACGACCAACTCCGGGCCGGAGACTCGAGCCCAACAGTCTCCCTCTTCGCGGATGATGTGACCCTTCTCGCGACGGGCCGCTCTCTGCAGGAGTGTGCGGACAGACTCCAACCGGTCCTGGACGAGGTCAGCCGCTGGGTGAAGACTTGGAAGGTCCAACCTAGTCCATCCAAGTGCGTGATGACCACCTTCACGCTGGACCCCAAGGAGTGCGGCGGCAAGGTCAAGCCCCAGCTCAGCTTCTGCGACCATCCGCTAGGCTACGAGGAGACGCCCACCTTCCTCGGCCTGAAGTTGGACTGTCAGCTGACCTTCGCCGCCCACATCGCCGCCCTTAGAGAGAAGATGGCAAAACGCCGTGCTTGTCTATCAGCGATCGCCGGAAGGAGCTACGGAAGCCACCGTAGCACACTCCGCATCGCCTACAAGAGCTACGTGAGCTCCCTCTTCGACTACGGGGCGGCCATCTACTTCACCCATGCGGCACCGGCTGTCCGCGAGCGCCTGGAGGTAGAGCAGCGGAAATGTGCGCGCCTGATTACCGGCTGCATCAAGCTCACGGATAAGGAGACCCTGGTGGCGGAGGCAGGCCTCCCTCCGCTATCACTCCGTGCCAAGGAGCTAGCAGCCGGCGAGTACGCGCGCATAGTCCGTCTACCTCCGGGAGACCCCGCTCGCAACCTACTGGACAAGACACCACCACCGAGACTCCGCTACCGGACCCACGAGGCATCGAGGCGCGCGGTGACGTCTGCCGAAGAGGCGGGTCTGCCACCGCCGCCACCGGCAGACGAAGACGCGACCCTCTCATTCAAGCCATGCTTCCGTCGGGTCGGTAGGTGGATCTGCGACAGGGCGGGCTTGAGCGACCTCCCAGTGGAGCCCCTGGCACTTTACCAGGGCGCACCACCCTGGCACCACGGCACTGTGGAGACGCCGTCCGTTTCGTGCTGGACCTGCCGCAGCCCACAAGGAGGACAGACCTGCCGGAAAGGAGAAAGGAGGCGGCGTTAGCGGCGCTGGCCCTCGATCGGACGGATCCGCCAAGGAAGGCACCATCCAAAGCGGCGGTGGAGCGATCCTGGAGCTTCACCGCGAGGGACGCACAATAGAGTGCGTGACACCGGCCGGTCGAGTGTGCAGCAGTATGAGGGCGGAGCTGGTGGCAATGACGGAGGCCCTGACGTGTCTCCATGAGCTACCGGCCCCCTCTAAAGCACTCATCAAGAGAGCGCTGCTCTGCACAGACTCCCGGTCGGGGCTCCAGCTACTTAGCCGCGGCCCGGATGACCAACAGTCGGCCATCGGCCAGCGCGTCTGGGCAATGTCCCAAAATTTGTCTATTTGGGTGGGAAACGACATCCAAATGAAATTCATTTTCCACTCTCACCACCATTTTTAAGAACAATTTTCCACTCCCAAGTCCCAACCAAGAAAACATAGATTTTTACCTATAGAAAGACAGTTGTGTGGATGCCCAGTTAGCATCAAACATTCTACACCCTAGAATAAAATGCATGCTTTTTGTCATTTCTCACTCCTTTTTGATCTAATCGAATCAGCAGTTTTCCACTCTCTCCCCTCTTTTTGGTGGGTAATTTTCCCCTCTGACACCCAAGACAAAACTCAATTTTGGGACACTGCCGGTCTGGGGCCTAATAGACGCGCTGACAGCCGGAGGGAAGGACATCACCCTGCACTGGGTCCCGGGCCACGCCGACTTCGCCGGCAACGAGGCAGCCGACCGCCTCGCCAATCAAGCCGCCGCCGACTGCACTCAAGAGGTGGCCCCGATCGACCTCTCCAGCGCGCGGACAGCCATCCGTCGCTGGACATCGGAGCTGGCCTCCGCAAGGGCGCAGCGGCACCCACATCGAGAACCTACTCCGAGCCACGATGAGCTGGACAGGTGGGGCCAGGCCACCCTGTCCCAGCTTCGCACCGGCTACTGCCCACTGGTGCGAGCCACAGCTCATCGCCTCGGCCTGGTCGAAGACCCGACCTGCCGAGCCTGCGGCGAGGAGGAGGAGGAGGACGTGGAGCACCTCCTGGCCGGGTGCCCTGCACACGTGGCGGCGAGGGCCGGTTTCTGGGGGCACTGTCCGACCCTGGCGGAAGTGCTCTCGGGGCCGGCCCAACACATCATCAGCTACCTGAAGAGAGTGGGGCGGGTGCAGGTCGCCACCGACCCGCCCCCGCCGGCCGCGCCTTAGGCGCGGTCCGCGACCGCGCAGAAGAGAGAGAGAGAGAGAGAGAGAGAGAGAGAGAGAGAGAGAGAGAGAGAGAGAGAGAGAGAGAGAGAGAAGCCACTTGACCATAGTGTCCTGGAATGCGGAGGGACTCCGCCCTAAACTGGCAGAACTCCAACGCTGGCTCCCGACCGTCCAGGCGGACGTAGTTGCGATACAGGAGGCTCAACTGCCGAAGTCGGTTCCGAGACTCGCGGGATATCAACCGCCGGTGGTCGTTCGCCGTGCGAGAGGCCGAAGAACTGGCGCGGCGGCGAAGGGTGGGGACGTGTGTGTGTTCCTGCGCGCCGGCATCACCTTCGCCGTCATGGATGGACCCTTTCTGGCCGCGGAAGACGACTCCACCGAGGTGTGTGGTGTCAGAATCCTCGACCAATCCCCGATCGACATCATAAACATCTACCGCCCACCCATCAGGGCGTCGAACGACGAGCGTGAAGACCGATTCGACCCTCGATGCCTACCAGTCAACCGTCAGACACTCCTGGTCGGCGATGTGAATGCCCACCACCCAGCCTGGGACCGTAACTGCGACCTGGAGGACGCTGTCGGCGACAGACTCGACTGCTGGTTGGAGGATGTCGGATGGAGCCCACTCAATAGTGGGGACCCGACCCTCATCAGCTACAGAACCGGAGGCCAGTCTGCGCCGGACCTGGCGGCCTGCGGTCCCGAGCGGGCGGTCAGAACACGCTGGTCGCTGGGTCCCGACCTCGGGAGCGACCACCTGCCGATGGTGATCGAAATCCGTGGAGTGTCGGACCCTCTTCAGCGGAGGCGCAAGACCAGGTGGGCTCACCACCGTGCCGACTGGAAGAAGTTCAGCGACTCTTGTGAGGAAGCCCTCAGGGAGGCCCCACCTGAGGAGCTCTCAACACAACAGCTGTATACGCGCTTCTCCACCGCTCTCCAGACGGCCAGCAAAGCACATATCCCGAAGGGTGCACGGCGGGACCCTAAACCGTGGGCTCTTCACCCAGAAGTACAACGTGCGGTGGAGGAGCGCAGAGCAGCGAGAAGAGAAGTCCACGACCCTGAATCCAAAGCCCGATGGTTGGAAGCCAAGCGACGAGCAGCCGAGGTGACGGAACGTGTGACCCAACAGTCATACCGGGATTTCGTCAGTACAGAGCTGAACCAATCAACCAGTGTGGGTCGGGTCTCCCGCCTGCTGAAGAAGTGGGAGGGAGCAGAGGACGATGAACAGAGAGACGGAGAGGCAATGAGGGTCGGCAACCGGCTTCTTGTCACGGCTTGTCACGGCCGAAGAAAAGACTACCGCCTTTGCCCATCAATACGCAAGTCTCCCGACAGGTGCGGGCCCCCAAGATTGACAGGGCAACACGCCGGCGGATCCAGCAGTTCGACCACTACAACTGTGCCGACTGTCAGAACGCCCGCACCGGCTGCTGCTCCCCCTTCTCTGAGGAGGAGTTGGTTCTTGCCATTCAACGGACTCAACTCCGCAAGCCTCCCGGCCCGGACAACATCACGCCAGAAATGATCAAACACCTGGGTCCGGTGGCTCGCGGTGCTCTCCTGAAGGCCATTAACCGATCATGGAAGACTGGTGAAGTCCCCCGCGAGTGGCGAGCGGCTACAATCGTCCCTATTCCGAAAGCAAATAAGGACAAGAAGCTACTAGCCAACTACCGGCCCATCGCCCTGACGAGTTGCGTAAGCAAACTGGCGGAGCGGCTTGTCCTGGCGAGATTGACCTTCTTGACTGATGCACGAGGACTAGTCCCCCCCCGAACAAGTGGGGTTCAGAGCGGGACGGTCCGCGGAGGATAGCATCGGCCGGCTAGTCCAAGATGTACAGGATGGATGGCAGAAACCGAAGAGAGACAAGCGATCAAAGAAACAAGACGCAGATACGGCTCAGAAGTACGTCCTGACAGCCTTCGATTTCAGCAGAGCCTACGACGTGGTGGACCATAAGCTACTCCGGCTCAGGCTCCTAGAATGCGGCCTGCCCCTGTGCCTTGTCAAATGGGTGTGGGGGTGGCTGCGCGACCGGAGAGTGAGGGTGGAGGTCCAGGGAGCTCTGTCCAACGAGAGGATCTTCAGGGCAGGCCTGCCTCAAGGGAGCGTCCTGTCGCCCCAGTTGTTTCTGTTGTGGGCGGCGGGGCTGGCACAGTGCCTCATAGCCCCTGGGGCCTCCCCCTACATCTATGCGGATGACACAGCGGTTTTGTGTTCTGGGGGGACGATGGAACTGGCGAAGAGTCTGGCACAGGCGGCCGCGGATGCTCTGGTCGCCTGGGCACACCGGAACAAAATGCTAGTCGCCGGGGAAAAGACACAAATGCTGGTGCTATCGGTGCTATCGCAGAATGCCAAAGACTCCGTCGGATGCACCATCAAGGTGGCAGGGAAGACGGTGTCGGCGAGCGATACACTGGTCCTCCTCGGGATCGAACTCGACCGTCGTCTTCAATTTGGCGCACACTGCAAGAAAGTCAGGAAGAAGGTCCGCCCCCGCGTCGCCCACCTGAGGCGGTTGTCGGGTCGAAGCTGGGGACTAGACGAAGACATTCTCAGAACGATAGCCAGTGGGTACGTGAGAGGAGCCATGGAACACGCTGCCGCGGCCTGGCTACCTGCGGCGGCCCCCTCTCACGCAGAACTCCTAGAACGCGAACTGCGAGCGGCGGCCCGGATCGTGACGGGGTGCCCGAGGTCTACACCGAGCCACGCACTGATGGCGGAGGCGAGGCTCGCCCCGATGGCGGAGAGGAAGCAGACGCTCGCAGCTCGGCTACTGACGAGAGCGCTGGCGCTCCCTCCGAACGACCCCCTGCGAGCGACAGCTGAGGCCGCGGCCCCGGCGCGCCTGTCCTCGGTCAGAGGATGGAGGTCGCTGGGCCGCCAAGCCTGGGCCGATGCAGGGATCTCGGCACCGATCGAGCCGATTCTCCCACCGAGAGTACCACCATGGGAGCAGCAGGGAGCGCGCATCTCCTTCACACTGGACGTCGGCCCGCTGAGGACAGGTGCGACGGCGGAGGAGAAGGAGAGGACTGCCGCCCAGCACCTAGCATCCCTACCACAGTGCGCGGTGTGGATGTGGTCGGACGGGTCAGCGGAGGGCGGCACAAGGAACGGAGGGGCTGGAGCAGTCATCATGTGGCCGGATGAGGAGGTACTGGAGCTAAGGGCTCCGGCGAGTGACTTCTGCTCCAGTTACCGTGCAGAAATGCTCGCCTTAGTTGCGGGCCTGGAGACCCTAACATCACGCACCAAAGATAGCGACCTACCACTGATCATCTGCTCCGACAGCATGTCGGCACTGGCGACCCTGCGGAATGGCCCCGCCGCCGAGACGTCACCGCTGGGGACGGTGGCCTGGAGAGCTCTACTGCAGCTAGCCAAAGATGGTCGAGAAATCAGGGCCCAGTGGGTCCCTTCTCACTGTGGCATACACGGCAATGAAGAGGCGGACAGAGTGGCCCGGGAAGCAGCCCAGCTCCCTCAAGAAAGGACGCCCATCGACACGAGGACGATCACCAGTACCGTGGCGAGAATGGCTAGGGACAAGACAATCCAGTCCTGGCCCGCCGGCTGGTTCAAGTCTCTGATGGGCGACCGCCGCCCCCCGTCCACGGCCGGCCTGGAACGGGAGAGCGCGGTAGAAGTCCATCAGATCCGCGCGGGCCACTGGGCAGGCTCAAGAGCCTACCTACACCGGATCGGTCGCTCCCCTACCAGAGACTGTGAGGGATGCAACGACGACCGGTGCGATGGAGCTGTCGTGGCCGCTACCCCGTGTTGATGTTGAAAGGTCGCCCTGCACGTCGAAACTTGGAGCGGCCCTGCCGCTGTCCACAGAGAGTGGCCCGAGTTGGCACCCTACTGTGGCGGGGGACGTGCAGTCGAAGTGGGTGTGGAGAGCTTTAAGTGGACTGTATCATTTGAGAGAATGGACTAGCCGACTGATCACCGCGACCGCCAGGTCAAAGCTGTACTTGGCACGTCTTAAATTGTCGAAACCTTGTCGGAGAAACCTCCGCACAAGTCTTACTCATGCGTGCCGAAAATCAAGACAAATCAAGAACAAGACATGAGCTGGTTAGACACTTGCCAGCAAAGACAGACACGAATCTCAGAACGAGTCAGACGCATCGAGCCTTCGAACATGAGCGCATCCCGCTGATGCGTGCGATTGTATGTCGTGTGTTAACCCTGAGGTGAAACGGCGCTATGGCCGGAGTTAAACTGGAGCTAAGCCAGATTACGAGAGGATAACTATGGGAAAATTGCTAAGGAAATTTAACGAGTAGGTTCGACCGAACGGCCGAAACCATACTCCGTTGAGATGCAAAACGTATTAGATTTAGGGGGAATACTGGCATCAAAATGGTCGTCCACAAGGGCGAACCACCAGTATTAGCTTATTGGGACGGCCTCAAATCGCCGGAGCGACGCCCGAGCTCAGAGAGCACGTGTCCGGACGGGCACGTACCGCGCAGAGATCGAGAGCCGACTGACTGCCGCTCCGAGTCCCGACCCCAGGTCAGTTCGGCCGGCGCCTGGGGCTAGCCGCCCGGCCCGGCCCTCTGATTGGCCGGCGCTACAGCGAGCGCGGGCAGCGGCCGGCGGAGCGCCCGCCAACGCGATACAAGGCACACAAGCATCACAGCCCCGTGGTACGCGACGTAATAATAAACACAACAATCGATAACAAGTAACAACACAAATACACTTCTCACGCGACGGCACACCAAATCACGCCGGGACTGTCGCGGATGGGTCCCGACGGGGAGGGGAGGGGAGAACACCGCCGCTGCCTAGCACCGACCGCGGCGCCAGAGCTGCCGGTTTACCTCTGCAGGGGCCCACACTCCACAGGAGCACGCTGCCCCATCTGCGGCGAGGAGGCGGACCGGCCGGCCCACATTCTCCTTCGCTGTCCCGCTCTGATGAGGACCCGCCTACAACTCACCGGCAGTATCCATCCGGACTTGGAGGTCCGGGAGACCAGAGTGGTGGCGGCCCTGGCGGCCGCCGCCCGCAACTTCCAGAGCCGCCTGGCTGCGCCCCGATGAGGGGCAGAGGGAGTCAAAACACAACAACTAACGGGGCGAGCGAGAGGGTGAGCCTTGCACGTGCGAAATTTCGAGGGGGTACCTCCAACTGACTTATGCACGGCACCCTACTCACCGGTCTCTAGCGATGTGCCAAATTTGAGCACATTCGGTCCAGCCGTTCTCGAGATCTGGAAGCGACACCCTGCACGTGCGCACGTGCAAAATGGGTCCCATCTGACTTTTGCACGGCACCCTACTAACTGGTCCCTAACCGTGTACCAAATTTGAGCGCCATCGGTCCAGCCGTTCCCTAGATCTGGAAACGACCCCTGCACGTGCGCACGTGAAGCAGCACCCCAACTCTGGCACATGGATATGCATTGCCTAGTGGGTGCCTACCTAGTACATACATGCCAACTTTCAGCGCAATCTGCCAAGTAGTTACCGAGATATTGCAACTATTACAAAACTGACATCTTCGTTTTGCATGTGGCACGTGCAAAAGGGGTCACCCACATGCATCGGTAGTCCAATACTTGGTAGAAAGAATGAAGCTACCATACAAAAATTACCGCATGTAAATCGCCAATCGGTTAAGTGGTTGCTGAGATATAAGCCTCGCGGACGCCGGCCGCTCATACTCAGAAATTTCCGTCAATCTAAGGAAAGACTACGCTCGCTTCGCTCGCTCCGTAATGACATCATTGGCGCTCCACCCAACGATGAGCATGCAGCGCTGTCAAGTTCAGTATTTTTTCTTTTGTTGTTGTTGGCGGTCATACTTAACACAGCCGTCCTATATTGCAAATTTGCAACAAAAATGTGGGGGGGGAAGGTGGGGTATAACAGCCCAGTGGCGCAAGACGGACCACCAGCCTTTATGGCTGGACTGTGGAGTTATAATATCGGCAAATACGAGCTGAGAGTCTGAGAAATATGAAACAGGTACAAATAATTTTGATAAAAGTTGATCGTAAGTGAAATCAATGTGTGCCAGCTAGTTTTCTCAGAAATTCAGCAAGCAATTGTGGAAAACTGGAGATACCGGCCAGCCCTCACATCGCCACTCCGAGCCGCGGGGCCGCCAGCACCCGGAACGAGCAGCCAAGGCTGGGTCGGCCTGACGGCGACGCCGGAGGCAAAGCCGCAGCTCGCCGGAGCCGGCTCAGGACCAGCCGACCCTGGCAAAGTGGACCAAGGGCACGGCAGCCCGGCGACGGCGCCCGGGGCAGCGGTGCAGCCAGCCCGCGCGGTGGGGCGAGTCACGGCCGACGAGGAGCGCCCGGGGTGGGGACGTACGGGGCGGGGGTGCCGAGGGCCTGAGGCGACCCCGCCCTGGACCAGCTCAGCTCGACGGTGGTGTCACGTGGGCCTCCTCCCGACGGCGAACTGGGGAGGGGGCGAGGCTGGCCGTGGCGCCGCCGTATATAAAGCGTGTGCTCGGCGGATCGAGAGGGTGGTCTCCAGTCACCACTACTAGAGAGGGAGTCGTCTCCAGTGGGGAGGCTCCAGTCGGAGACTCCAGCAGGGAGTCTACAGTTCCAGTTCCAGTCTCGGGTCACCAGACTCCAGGCGCAGTCTCCGGTCATCTCGACCGGTCGGCCGAGACCCCGACGGCCGCTGGGCGCTCGCAGTGATTGTGTCTGGCGTGCACAGTGTCAGGGACAGTGCTTGAGATGTAAGTACACGGGCTCAACCAGCCGCGCTGGCTATGGCGCGCTGGTTGGGATTAGAGGAGAGTAGTGGAGAGGAGAGTATGAGATCAGTAGTGAGTGTGGATCTGTGTTTCCCTATCCTCAATAATAACACCTCTATGTGTAAACGCTGTCTCTGGGGCTGTGGTGAGCGGAGTCTGAGGCGATGGAGAGTCGGACTGGTGCTGAGAGAGTAATCGGATTTCAGAGCCACACATCCAAACAAGTAGGTAGGATAAAACATATTTTCACACAATTCTCATGCTGTGTTCAAAGAGGCGTTTACAGTGAGGGTCGAACTTAGAAAAAAAAAACTTGAACTATAGTTCGTTTACTTTAACCCTCGCCGGACCTATTGGTTTTCTACATACGCTCCGGCCGAGGGGGGGGGGGGGCGGGTACGACCCCCTCGCCGTTTCGCCCCTGGTGGAGCTAGCGCGTCGCGGAAAAACGAGCGTGTGCGCCGATACGAGACACAGAGATTGGTACCCGATTTTAAGGTCCTAGGTCAACCGGTGACCTCCGAGGTCAGGTCAAGTGCCCCAAGTTACGGTTCAGTTTTTGGTGAATAACTTCGCAAAAAAACGGCCACAGAGCCGCGATTTTGGCAGCATCGTGTTCGCCTGGCTCAGGCGCGTCGAATGATATACATTTTGTTCGGGTCAGGTCAATTTAGGGTGTTGACCTCAGGTCAAGGTCAGGTCAGCACCCCTAGGTCACGAAGTTGGTCGCAAGAGGTCATGACGCATATCATTCGATTCGGCAGGTCTTCGTCTTCCTGATTCCATTGGTGGCTTTCCCGACTCGCTAGCTCAATTTGATCAAGAGTTATTGACGAAAAACTAATATGACCTTGATGATGTCATAAATGACGTCAGCAAGGTCAACATTGCAAAAGTAACGCATCTAACCTTGCAAGGAGTGCATCAAATCACCATTTTGTGTGCTTGAGATAGTTGGGAGATCGTTCCCGGCGCCAGAATAGCAGTTTTCATTTTTCCCCATTGACTTATAATGGTGAGGTCACGAAAATGACCTGACCTCATATGACCTTTAGGAAAAATCCGAGATATACAAGTTGTGAGACCCATAATGGATACTAGATCCTGTAAGTTTCATTTCCCTGTGACATCTCCTCTGCCAGTGAGGGCGTTGCGAAGTAATGAGGTTATGTAAGGTTATGAGGTTAAGTAAGTAATGAGGTTATGTAAGTTATGTACGTCTATGTAAGTGACCGTGCAGAGGTTTACTTATGACGTCATAGGTCAGTGACCTGACCTGACGCAAAAATGCGGTTGGTGTCAAAAGATCCGGCTTGAATCAAAGGTCAGGTATGCCAAGTTTCAGCTCTCTATTGCCAGCCTGTTCGGAGCTATCGCGAGAAAAAAACCCTATGAGGTGCCGCCCCCCCCCCTGGCCGGCGAGGGTTAAGTTTGCCCCTCACTGTTAACCCTATTCCTGGCGGGGGGGGGCCTCAGGAGCCCCCCCCTGAGGTTTTTTGGTTATTTCTCCCAAACGCGTTGAGCTAGGAAGCTCAAATTGTCTGACTTTTCCTAAAAGGCTTCTACGCAACATGTCTGAAAATTTTGAGTTGATCTGACCTCAGGTCAGGTCACCAGAGGCGGTTTGGTGACCCTACCTCAGAAAAGTTTGCAATCACGCCAGAGCTAGAGTTTTTGACCGATCAATTTCTTCTCTTCAGGGTTTAGTAAGGGTACCAGTATGTGCAATTTGTATATCTCGGAATTTTGATATCGGTGACCTAAGGTCAGGTCAATTTCGCGACCTCCCCATTATAAGTCAATGGGGGAAAAATCAAATCCCTGTTTTTACCACTAAAACGGGTCGGAATGGCCCCATATACCATACATGACTTCATATACGATCAACCTTCACTACCTTGAGGTCTGTTTTGCTGTTGGGCAGCTGTGAGGTCATGTGACGTCATCAAAGGTCACCAAAGGTTTTTGGCCAATAACTCCGTACAGGAACAAGATACAGACGCGTGGATGGTCTCATTGTGTTCAGCTCGTCCAGACGCATCGAATGATATACATGATGACCTCGAGGTCACGTGACCTGAGGTCAACCTTTGACCTTGACCTTTCGAGGTCAACATATATATCATTCAATGCGGATTGACGCGAGGATCACGATGATGCCCTTAGTTTGTTCCTATCTTGACTAATTCGAAAGTTATTCGAGAAAAAACTATTTCCATATCTAGCGCCGCCATTTTGACTTTTTCGACCCCTGTGACGTCATCTTTGATCTGACCTGAAAATGACCTTAGTAAAAATTGTAGATCTTGGCCGTGCGTATCCGATGCCGTTTACCGCTTGTCGCTATCTTGCTTCGTTCTCGAGATCTCAGGGGGGGGCCGAATCGGCCCCCCCCCCGCCAGTTTCTTGTCCCGGCGGAGCCCGCCAGGAATAGGGTTAAGGCTGAAACAGACTCTTTCCGCGTTCAGGAGATCGCATGCGAGAGCCTATTCAAATACATTATAATTCTTCCCGCATCAATCGCATCCGGGAGGTGCGTGCGATTGATGCGAGCGTGCTTCCATGTATTTGAAAAGGCTCTCGCATGCGATTTCCTGACTGCGGAAAGAGTCTGTTTCAGGCATAAACGTCTATGTATTTGAACACAGCAAGAGATTTGCTAGCTGAATTACTGATAAAACTGGTTGACGCACATTGATTTCACCAGATTTCACAGACGACCAATGTCATCAAATTTCTTTGCTATTTCACTGACTCATAGCTCGTATTTGCCCATACCTACAGCTCCACAGTGATTAACGACTTCTCAGGAATTATGTCTGAACTAATTAATAAATTGCACGGCGTTTAACATTAACGTTACATCGTTGGTGTTCAAAACTTATTTTGAAAATATCATTTAAATCTCCAATACAATGTGCGCCAACAAATTTTCTCAGTACGTTTACAGTGAGGGGCAAACTTAAAATAAACGAACTATGCCTTTGTTTTCCATCGCGCAAATGGCCACCTTGAGCTAATGGGGCCAGGACGCATGGATATTTTAGGTAGATTTTTTCTTGCCAAACTGTTCTAATGTAAGATGTTGAAGGACAATTCAATTAAGGCACTTTTCTTGCAAGAATAATTTTAATTGCCCCTTACTGAAAAAAATTACACATTCAGACTTCAGACAGGCAAGGTTTCGCAATGTTGGGCTATCGAACAAATGTGTAATGATAATGACAAATTTGATGTGGTGTAAGACGGACCACTAGGGCCCATCTTACCCAGTGGTGGCCCCTTCTACCCCGCCTGTGAAAAATATTACTTGACTTGACGTGAGTTTGGACTTTGGAATAAACTGTTTCATTCAGGAAAGAAAGCCTTTGTTGCATGTGAGTCATGCTGTGCTGCGCTAGCATGCATTCATGCCAGACGAAGTGCTGAGCTAGCATACACTCAAGCCACACGACAATCAACACACAATATCCTAGCCAGTAATTGCACTCCCACCAGTCACCACGAACGATGGGTAGAGTTTATATGTTATTCTGCCACTCGGAGCACTTCTACTTACGAGAGTAGGTATAGTCTCTCTTGAAAGCATCGCGACTCTGAGCGAAGGCGCCACCTGTTCCAGCCGCCGTTGGGCGGAAAAGTTTGAGAGCCGCTGGTAGCACTGACCGATTGACCGAAGCCTGGCACGCAGAGTCAGCCAGCGCGAGCGCGGCGGGGGCGAGGGGAGTGGTTGCGGCCTGCGGAGGGATAGGGGAAGGTAGCAGTCGCCGTCCGGTAACTTGTGATGGCAACAGGCATGTGGTCAACGGAAGCCACCCTATTCGCGAGATTTTGTTGAGATTTGCTTGGTTGCAAGGTTAAGAATTTGACCCGTCATCGGCACGAGTCACAGGTTTTTAGTAAAATCCGGAAACCCGTGCCTGAATACGAAAAAAAAAAATCAACAGTTGTGCCCGCTAACAGAATGCATCCGTGGTTGCAGATGCACCCGCGAGCGGATTCAAATCACAAAAAAATCTCTCTCTAGCCAATTAGTCCCATAATTGAAGTTCTCTTTTTTAACGAGCCGATTAGTGAACGGCGACAAAAAAAAATTACCGTTCTGCTGTCTTCTTTTTAAAAATCCTATTTGATGCCGGGCTGCCCCCCTCTCATGACCTGTTTACGTCGTTCAGAAGGTCTCTTCACGGTAGGATTATGGCGGAACTTTGCTTCGTTGTGATTTTACGCGTCACGCACACGAGTGATTGGCGCCCACTAAGGCAGACCAATGAGCGCTCGGCTGGTGAACCCTAGCGGCGCCGGTATCCGCCTGGTGCGGGGGACGGGGTCAAGGCGAGCGATACGAGCATGACCTCTGGTCAGCCTCAACCTGTTTTAACCCAGTTGTCAGCCGCTGGTGCCTGCGTCATATAACAGTTTTTCTCCTACCGCTGTCGTAGAATCGTGTTACACCGTACTTTTTATGATACAGGCCATGACCTCACTGCTGGGGTCCTCAAACTGAATGGAATAGTTCGCAGAGCCGCCGCAACCCATGACGCGATACTTTCAAGAGAGACTATACAGGGCAAAAGTGTAACAGACAAATGGATAACATACACTGCTGGGTGGTCCGTCTTACCTCGCCTTTTTTTTCTTGTCGGAGATTCTGACTTTTCCTCCTTTAAGAGCAACCGATATTTAGGTTTCTTCAATTTAAAATCCAGCCTTTGCATATGCTAAAAGGGAGAGGAATCAATATGAGGTTCCAGAGCAGTGTAGCAAGATCTTTGACTTCAATCCTTAGCTGGTCCGTCTTACCCCATCTTCCCTAAGCATTGCCACAAGAAGTCAAACTTTTAAGTTAAAACATAACTCATAAGTGACAACTAGTCAACCAAAGCTGTATAATCAAATGAGCCAAAATCAGGATAGCATAAAAAATGTTAGCAGTGAAAAAATTCGTTCGAATCTGTCGAGCAACCGAATTCAACAATTTATAAATCCTTGTGACATATCACGCGCCACAATACTTGCAAACCACTTTTAATGGAGCGAATACGAGTAGATAAGAAGCTGCGTTATGTACCGCCTACATATCGACACTTTTTTTTAAACCCCACATTTGTTCTCCCGTGAAGTTCAGACAAGTTGTTTAGAAACCTTCAAAAAAGGTACAGTCACTCGATTTTTCTCAGTTTTTGGATTTAGTCACTCACGACACCAGCGATGAATAAAAAAAAACGTGGATCAAGGGGAATAGAAGTGGTTTGTCACCAGCCCAGAAAGCAGGACAATGCAAGAACACTTACCGAAGTTTGGCTGAACTAGATCACCGGATCACAACAGGTGAGGAAGCAAAAAGTAAGCCGCAACGAAATCCGACGACGATTAACGGAACTGTTAACAGTTGGGAGAAACGCGAGATATGCACGATTAATGTTCGCAATTAGCAAGATTTCCCGGCAATCTAATTCGGAGCCGGACATTCACGTGACGGCACGGCCCCAGCTGACCGGTCAAGTCGAGGCGAACGGCCCGCTCAACCAATCAGAGGCCAAGCCGCTCCACCTGACCGGAACGGGGCCGGCCGGGGTCAGTCGCGCGCTCGGGTCGGGTCACTCGCGCGCTCGGCTCGGGTCACTCACAACTGCGACACGGTAGTCTTTGAATGACTTCAGCACAGGTCCAGGATTAAGACAGTGACACGTTGAGCGTCGGCACCCACACAGACGGACGAAAGGTCAGTGCAATGATTGGGAGAGCGCCTTGGGTGCTAGGCAGTAGGCATGCAAGCACGTGAACGTGAACCGCTTTCACTGAACACGAGGCGCCGTCAGGCGTGTTCATTGCAATATCTTTAAGTAAGTGAATTATTGCAGTGTGCTGTGCTCCTGGCAACTCTTGCACTTAACGGGTCAGGTTTACAACAATCCCTGGGGCATCATACTTATGTCAAATGCCCTGCAATCTTAACATTTGACCGGCGGTCCTTATAATTGGAGGGATTGACTCGCACCATGCACTATGCAGGCTGCAGCTATAACGGGGACCAGCTGCTGCTGGGTGTCGAGCGAGGGATTAGAGGTGCTGGAGATCCACCGGGTCTGCATCTTCCTCAGAATCAGTGTCCCAAAATTGAGTTTTGTCTTGGGTGTCAGAGGGGAAAATTATCCACCAAAAAGAGGGGAGAGAGGATGAAAAACTGCTGATTTGATTAGATCCAAAAAGAGTGAAAAACAACAAAAAGCATGCATTTGATTCTAAGGTGTAGGATGCTTGATGCTAAGCTGGGAATCCACACAACTGCTCTTTCTACAGGCAAAAAATCTAGATTTTCTTGGTTGGGAGTGGAAAATTGTTCTTAAAAATTGGTGGCGAGAGTGGAAAATGAATTTCATTTGGATGTCTTTACCCACCCAAATCGACAAATTTTGGGACATTGCTCAGAATCCAAACCAGACCAGACCAGACCAGACCAGGATGAGGACTGAGGAGGCCCGTCGACCAGCCGCTAGGGGAAGTGTCGTAGGGCAATTAACGCAATGAGCACCCAGATTCCGTCCTTCCCTTGTGACATTTTTTGACATTCAAAAATTCATGGTCTGGGAAGGGATGGCAGGCGTCTATAAGAGCGGCTGGGAATTCGTAATGGATGTCATCGCTTCAATATAGTAAACTGTGCCCTGGTTGTGACTTGTGAGGGTTTATGTTGCGACATTTTCTTCCGTTAACAACTTGCCGTACAACTGGAGCGCCCCCGGCGTCCCATTCAGCGCTATCGGGCAGACTGGTTATTGCTTCACCTTTTTTTAGATTGATTCAATCATTGATTCATTTGATTTTCTTTCATCACCGTTCAATTCCATAGGTGGCGGAACCGGGTGGGGGCACCGTGTGCCACTTTGGTTTTGGCATTTTAATATTAGCCCTAAGGGCGTTGCATGGAAAGGATGGGACCAAAAGTCGGCAGTGCCCGGTGCCCCCCCCCCCCCTTAATTGAAAGTGTTCCGCCGCCACTGTTAAATTCCTTCAAAAATGGTGAATTGATTCCTTTTGATTCAGAGAATCAAAAATCCAAAAAAAGGAATGATACACGTTTGATTCAGCTAAAAAGTTATTGAACGATTTTTTATCGATTCGATTAAAGAAATCCCTGATACAGAGAAAGTTATTGAACGATTTTTTATCGATTCGATTAAAAAAAATCCCTGATTCAGAGATAGTTGTATTTGTTGTGTTCTTTTTGTTGTCATGCAATTATCACATAACGGTAGAGTTAACATTTGTTGAGTAGCCTCACTTTTTAAAAGTTCATAAATCATTAATATTTTCTTTAATTCAATCACCAATTTTTTCCAATGCGTTTGGTTCAATCATGGCTTGTGAATCGAACCATCCTGACGGTAAAACAAACCTTTTTTAATTCAACAAATTTTGTTTGATTCAATCCAATCGATTCAATCACGGATAACACCAGTCTGCTCTCGGGAGCAAGCAGCGGCTCCAGCTGGTGGCGGGGAGGGCAGCTGGAGCCGGCGCATCAGGACGCCACGGGCAATAAGTGGTAGGACGTCTGGTGGCGCTGGTGGCGTCCGACAGATGGCAGCACTTCAGTCCCCCCCCCCCCCAGCCGATACTTGTCTTTATTTTGTCGTGTTGTGATGCTTTACATTGTATGTCTAAGCATGTCCATTTTCGGACGAGGTATTACTACGCATTTGCACCATCATCCCGGCAGTAAACTGTCACCCCCATGTCCTTTGCATGGACATGATACATGATGCTGTAAATATGTTTGATCTTCGTACGGACTTTAACTTATGCTTCACTCACGAGAGGGCGGTTTTGATGCCTGAGAAATTTCGCAGGTATATTGCAGGATATGTTCAAAGGCAAATTATGTTACTATAATAAAGTGGGTATGCGATGTGTGCCTACAGGTCAGTGGCGAAAGCGGCATTCGCGTATCTTGCATTTCTTCGATGCGGCGCTGTGCTTTCGGTTTTAAACGTCTTTGGAAAGAGTAACTCGTCACTGGTTATGGGATATATCACCGACTTTCGGCTTCGAGAACTCATACTTACCTGGCTCAGGGGATACCGTGATCATGAAGGCGGTTCCCCCAGGGCGAGGCCCTTCCATTGCACTTCGGTTGGGTTGACCCCTGCGATTATCCCAAATGTGGATAACTCGGGAGTACAATTTTTGTTAGCGGGGTAGGTTGCGTTCGCGCTCCGACCCTTACTAAAAGTTTAATGTGAAATTCGAAGAATAAAATACAACTGCAGTTACATCACACAACGAATTTGGGCCTTTGCCCTTAGAACTGGGCATTTCAGCTCGTTTAGACGCTCGAGCAAACTGCGAGCCAAAACAATAATGATGATGGTCAATGGTGCTTCCTCATTATAGAACGCTCATTTGAAGGCAAGGAACTTCGTATTGTTACAAGTCGTTATCATAAGCAACAGTTCTATATAATACTGAACGAGGCCGGTGTAAATAAATTTTCAAGACCGAGGTCATTTTTGAACGAGGCCGAAGGCCGAGTTCAAAAATCAGTAAGGACTGAGGTCTCGAAAATTTATCACCGGCCGAGTTTGGTATGTATTTTACTGTATGCCAACGATAAATTTATTTTCTGGACCGAAGCTCTTATCCGACTTAGGAACGAGACCATCCCAAAATGTTGGCTTAAGCAGGGGCTTAAGTGCATTCTGGTAATGCATTTTTGACCGTGGTCAATTTGCTTACACCCGTTATTACCACACCCCTTTGGATAATGTATTTGAATAGGCCAGGCATACAGTAAAACTCTTACTCAGCAACAGTTCATCTTATTACTGTATGCCTGGCCTATTCAAATACATTAGCCTGAGGGGTGTGGTAATAACTGGTGTAAGCAAAGTGACCACGGTCAAAAACGAATTACCAAGTCAACATTTTGGGATGGCCTCGTTCAAAAAACGGGTAAGAGCTTCGGTCTAGACAATTATTTCATCGTTGGCATACAGTAAAATACATACCAAACTCGGCCGGTGATAAATTTTCAAGACCTCAGTCCTTACTGATTTTTGAACTCGGCCTCGTTCAAAAATTCAGTAAGGACCTCGGTCTTGAAAATTTATTTACACCGGCCTCCAGTATTATATAATACTGAACGAGGCCGGTGTAAATAAATTTTCAAGACCGAGGTCCTAACTGAATTTTTGAACGAGGCCGAAGGCCGAGTTCAAAAATCAGTAAGGACTGAGGTCTTGAAAATTTATCACCGGCCGAGTTTGGTATGTATTTTACTGTATGCCAACGATAAAATAATTGTCTAGACCGAAGCTCTTGGCTGTTTTTTGAACGAGGACATCCCAAAATGTTGACTTGGTAATTCGTTTTTGACCGTGGTCACTTGCTTACACCAGTTATTACCACACCCCTCAGGCTAATGTATTTGAATAGGCCAGGCATACAGTAATATATATACTCCACAGCGCCGTTGCGAGAAACTTCATGAAGGTAGGAACACAACGGATCCCACGTGTACGAATATTATCAGCCAAAATGTTCATTAAACTCTTATGCCGCGTTCCCACTACGACCGTTCAACATCGTAAAGTAAAATAACGGGAGAAAACCGGCAAGATCGGCAAAATCACAGCACGCATTTTTACGATCTCTGTCGGTGGTGGTGGGAACCGGGTATTTGACACGTGTTTTCGGGTGGAGGCATTTGTAAGGTTTTGAAAGTTTGCTCCCCATGTTGGTCGGTTGGTGAGGTCGCCAAAAAGTTGAACAGTGTTCAACTTTTTGAACGTTCTTGAAGGTTTGTGCAGATATTAAATGACACTAATAAGCATTTTTAGGTAGTGCATAGAACAGGAAGCCCTTTTTGGGAAGTTTCTTGACATTCAAAGTGAGAAGACAAGCAGCAAGGCATGAAAGGTGGTGCATTTTTGCGGATAAAAGCTACATAACTCTAATTATATACGTAG